GGGGCTAGGGAAGGGTAAGTGGAAGGAGATGAGGGAGGAATGGGGTACGAGCCCCCGATGGGGAGGACTGGGCTGGCTCTGCGGGCTTCTGGGGGTAGAAGCTCTCCTGCAGCCCCCCAATTGTCCCCTCTCCCCAGATGGCAGCCTGCGGCAAGTGCAGCCGGGCTGATGGCCGAGTGGTGTGATGTGCCCAGTGTGGGTAGTCCAGGCACTCCAAGCCAGGACTGCTTTGCAAGCGGGGCACCCCTGAGAACTGTCTGTCCAGGGTGGGGGTCGGGACCCTTTAAGCACAGCCCTCGGCTAGCCTGAGAAAGCATCTCCACGCTCTAAGTTCTTCTCTGATGCCCTGCTGGCACTGCTTCCGGCCATCCTTAAGCCCGGTTCAGGGTCCACTTAATGTGGACATGTTAGTTCGAATTAGCAAAACGCTAAGTCAAACTAGTTTTTTAGTCTGGATCTGTTAGTTCGAATTAACTAATTTGAACTAAGTTAGTTCGAATTAACATTGTAGTGTAGACATACCTTAACAGATTTATTTGGACATTCGCTTTTGTAGGTAAAAACACTGTCAGATGCATGGAATCCACAAGATTATGCCCAAGTAAATCAGTTAGTCTTTAAGGGCATGTCTATACTAGGACACTGCAAAATAACTAAATTAGAAATAAAAACTCCAGAAATAACTAAATTAGAAATAACTCCAGAAATAACTATTTCAAAATAAAATTATTTCCCAAGGAAAGCAGGAGTACAGATTTCAAAATAACCAGCCCGATATTTGGAAATAACAGGCTTGTTAGTGTGGACAATATGCTTATATTTTGAAATAAGAAGGGGTTATTTTGAAATAACTCCCTAGTGTAGATCATGGTTAAAGTGACACAGGACTCCTACTTGTTTTAGCAGATGCAGACTAACTACCTCTTTATAATCATTGTCAGAGTGTCATTTTATGGTCTTCTTTAGTCACACAAGACTAACTACCTCTCAGACTTTATAATCATTGTCAGAGTGTCATTTTATGGTCTTCTTTAGTCACACAATACATATACAATTTTATCAATTCACAACTGGAAAAACAGCAAATGGGAATTAAAAAATTATTCCTGCTTTTCATTAAAAAAGCTTGATCTTTCAAAGTGCTAAGGGAACTTGGCTCCTCATAGGGTATACTCTGCTCTAAAATTCTGTAGTCACCAATTCTCCAAGTGACATTAACTATTATGCCCTATGCATAAACCTCGTATGTGAGCAGAAGTCAGTAATGGCTTGCTACCAGATTCTTTATACATAAAATATTCTACAACTAGTGTCCTGCAGTTAGTTTTTTTTTATAATATAGAATATTGAAGAGCAAATGGTCTGCAGTTAGTTTTTTTTTTTATATAATATAGAATATTGAAGAGCAAATGGTAGGCTGGCATCTCCACAGAGACAGAGAAAGTATTTTAGGAACTTGAAGTGCAACTCTGATTTTTCAAAACTTGCGTTTTTAATGTTTAGGAGGGGTTTTTTGTTTAAAAAAAGTAATATACATGCAAGCCACTGGTATGTGCTTACAACCTTAACTTATTTTTAATGAATATTTGATTGGCTATAAAGTAGGAATGTTAGCTATCGGGTACTTGAATAGTTGTGTAACTGCATGAAATCTTTGAGGTTACATGACTATTTGATAGTTTCTGGGGGTTGGACTGGCAGCCAGTGTGTTCTGGCCCCATTCCTGGGGGAGCCCCCATTACCCTGTGCTGCTGCAGGGTGAATCCAATCCATGATGGTAGCCAGTTTAAAAAATGGTTCCCCACGCAGACATGGCCCACAGCTGACAGAGGCTGCTTTGCAGCAGCCTCTCCTGCTCCCACTCCATGCTGCTGCAAGGGGAAGGTAGCACCGTGGAGATGGTGCTGGGAGGAACTGGCTTTTAAGCCAGCTCCCCCCAGCACCAGCTCCTGCTTCCCCCTGCTGCCTCTGACACGGAGGCAGCAAAAGAGGTGGGGGGAATGCAAGTAGTCAACATGATTAACAGATAAACTTAGGCTTATCGGTTAATCGTATAGTCTCATTGACATCCCTACTATAAGTACAAGAGGACCTAAATCAAAAGCAGAAGGGAACATTGTACTGAATCCAAATTCTTTAAGGAACCAATGAACAAACATAACATTGATAAATGCAAAGTAATTCATATGTGAGGATATAATCTGAAGGTTTCATATTTTAACTCAGTTCTAAATTCAGCCTGAGCTCATAAAGCCCGAAGTATCACTGCAGACAACACAATGAAGATCTCTGCTCAATATGAAACAGGGGTTAAAAAGCTGATGCATACATTATAAATATATAAAAAGATAAATTAAAATAAAATATTACACCATTATGTAAAATGGAATGGTGTGCCCTCAGAGAAAATTATTTCTGGTTCTCTACTTTTAAATCAGGACATAGTAGAAGGAGGGGATTCAGAGATGGGAGATGAGAATGATTATGGGCATGAAAAAAAATCCCATAAGAAAAGATGTTTCCATTTTAAGTTTGTTTACCTTAGAAAGGAGACAATTAAAAAAAAAGACATGACTACACAAATAGTGGTATAACAAATGTAAATCAGGAAGTCTGACACTGTTTCATAATACAAGATCACATGGCCATCCAATTAAAGTGAAAGAAGGCAGATCCAAAACCGATAAAAGGAAATATCCCTCCATACAACTAGCTTGTAGAATTCCAAGCCTCAGTGGTTTGTGACAGCAGTATTCAAAAAGATTAGCCACTAGATAATAGATTAATAATTGTAATACTAAATATTAAAAGTTTTGGAAGAACCCTCATCTTTTAGTGTTTAAGACCACCTCTAGCCATTGTTAGCATCATGGGCCATTGATATGATCGAGAATGCCTATTCCTATCTTGCTATGAAAGCTTTATTTTTTCACTGAGTTCTGTATTTTAAAACATGTAAAATCTTCACTATCTTTTATATCATATCCAACTTATACTTTGAGCAATTAATATCCGAAGGTGGCTTCTGCTACAAACAGAAAATATCCCAAATACTTCCACAATAAGATTTGTTTCCCAGTCACTCTCTCTTTTCTTGGCTATTTCAGCTGTATGCTTTTAACAAAACCTTGCTTTTACTATTGCAGTGAAGCAACAATGCTGTATAACCCACACACACACACACACACACACAGACACACACAGACACACACAGACACACACAGACACACGATTGAAAACTGTAATTTAAATGTCTGGCAAAGTCCAGGAATAACTAAAAAGGAGTGAATTTAAAGATATCAGTCAGTAAACAGGGCCTAAAAAATCCCTTTGTACTGCAAACCTACAAAGACCAAATGATCTACACATTGTAAGAGTCCTCCTTTAAAGCTTTTTGTTAGTCTAAAACTACACCCTCATGGAATATATACTTTATCTTAAAAAGAAGTTAGCTACATTTGATCTTATTCTAATTTAAAATCCAGACATAAAAAAAATAAAGTACAGTTACCTGGACTAGAAATCCGGTCACGATATTTAGGAATATCTCTGCTCAAAGTCTGAAGCATAACCCACATGGTGAATGTAAAGAGTGCTGCTAGGAAGCCATAGAATACCAGATAAAACAGCAAGATTAGACCTGTAAAATTAAAGAACTCAAATTAACAGAGTATTTATTTTCAACTGAACATAATTTTAATTTTTTACTTTGATACCCAGGATTGTAGTTCAGTAGGACTTTGGATTGGTCTTGAGTCCGCCACTCAGCCAGAGTCACCAAATTAGATCTTCCTGAACCTTGTGTTTCAGCATTAAAATGTATATAAATAAATACACACATACACATGCGCCAACCCCACCCCAAATACGTAAGTTCAGTTTTTAAAAGGCCATTCCATTTAATAATAATAATTAAAACTTCAACAGGAGGATTCTCCTTCCCTAGATTCTGGAGATAATTTTTGCTCTGTCAGCTTGTCTTTGAGAGTTAAGCAACTGATTATATCCCACTGGTTACAGAAACTTATGTGCAATGCTCTATGTGAATAATCTCCAGCCACTGGGAAACCCTAGTGAAAGCAGATAACATTTTATCCATATTTAAAAATCGATCTGTTCTTCTGACACAAGAATTTGGCATGTGTCAGGCAGGCAAAGTGAGACACTGAGAAACACAGGAACTGAAATCTATGGGAGATGCAGGTTCTGAACATCTGTTTATGGGATAATTTATTCAGTCACTTGACTTTGAAAATTTTGATTTTAATCCCTCCATCTATAATGTTGTGGCCCAATGACTAGTGCATGGGATTGTGGTTTAGGAGAGCTGGGTTCTATTCCTGGATGTGTTACTGACCTTAGAGTCATTAGTTTATACCTCAGTTTCCACATCTATAAAATAGTGATGATTGTGCTCTCCTTTGTAAAATATTATATGATCTACTAAGGAAAAGCACAGTATGAGAGCTAAGCATTGCTATTTACTTCTTGCTTCTGGATGCGGTAAAAATAATTTAAAAATATATTAAAAAAAGATAGTTGTTAGCAACTGGTGGGTATCACAGTGGCACACACCTGAACAAGCACACAGGACCTCTATATTGGCACACAAGACAAAACTCACTCCACTTGCAGATGGAAAAATCTTAGAGGGAACACTGTTTGCGATGTGGAGAAATTGGCTCTAGAACACACATAATATACAATTGGTACATCTTGCAATCATTTCTCAAGCTATCCAGGACACTGGGTTTAGACTAGGCATATTATAGCTCTCCTTTAGCAATTTTATTAACAAATTAGGGTTTTCCCCCCCAAAGCACTAAGAAAATTTAGTTTTTCATTTAACTAAACAGAATGAAGAGACTCAACCTGAATACAAGAGATCTACTTTTTGGACACTACTGTACAAATAAATGAAGGTCACAAACATCACCCTATATCAGAAACCTACTGACTGCTATTCTTAGCTACAGGCCTCTATCTTCCATCCAAGACACATCATATCAGGGATGTAAAGCACCTTATTGACTATAGTATGGACTACTCACTTCCTCCCTGCCCCCACTGCCTCTGAGAGGAGCAATGGGGACAGGAGCCAGTGTGAGGGGGAGCTGGCTTAAAAGCCAGTTCCTCCCAGCACCATCTCGGAGGGGGCAGGGGCAGGGTAGCAAGAGGTTAGTGGGGGGACCAAGCACAAGCTGGGAATCAGCTGATTCCCAGCTTGTGCCCGGTCCCAAACACCACGCCTCTGCTTTTTAAATTTTTAAACTTATTAAGAGCTTGATGGCTTAATATTTCCCACCCTTATCAACTAATCGAGTAGTTGATGGAAATTCAATTAGCCGATTACATGGAATTTAAGATCTCTATATCATATGATCCAATGTCTACAGCCATGCCCTAAGATCCAACTATATCTGCTCCAATCCTTCAGAGAAGCAGTCACCTTCAAGATCTTTATCAAGTATCCTTAAAAAGTAAAGTACTCACCTGGGGAAATGAAGAAACAAATTGAAAGAGCCAGATGAGGTCCCAAAAGAAAAACAACAGAATACCACTGGTTATCACCGGTAGTCCCCCGGGTCCCTGCTAAAAACCTACAACCTATTCTGAAAAACAATCCTTCACTCCCAACCTGAAACAAATACTCACCAGTAGCCACACAATACACCACAGAAACACCCAGGAACCAATCCCTGCAACAAACCTTGTTGCCAACTCTGTCCACATATCTATACAAGCAACACTATCATAGGACCTAACCACATAAGCCACACAATCAGGGGCTCATTCACCTGCACATCCACTAACATGATTGATACAAAGGCAATTTCCCCTTTCTTGATATTCATCTCTCTTGACCAGTTGATGTGAATGAGCCATCCCAACTTGATTAGCCTCATTAACACTCCAGTTAATCTGATGAAGTGGGTTTTATCCAAGAAAGTTTATGCCCAATACATCTGTTAGTCTAAGGTGCCATAGGACTCCTCATTGTTTTTTCAGATACAGACTAATACGGTGGCTACTCTGAGATATATAACAAAGGGATATTCTTTAGAAAACAGAACACTAATAGTATCTAACATCCCAGAAAAAAATTAACTATATTTTAGCAATCTATGAATTAATTGGGATAATATACATTACAATGAGTATTTCAATTATTCCAAAACCAAGTGTTATAAAACTAAGAAATTTACAATTAACATTAAAACTGAAAGAAATCCAGACATACTAATGTACTGGAAATGCACAATAAGGACATCTTAATTCTGCCTTGTCACAGATACCGTTTCTTGTAAGCTGTGTGCTTGTGCCACCACTCAAGAAATTCAAATGCTGCCCAACTGATTAGCAGAATGCCTACAGCTAGTTTCTTTGTTTCTCCTGGCAGTGCACATTCATACATGCCCCGATGCACATTAAAAAAATGTATTCCTCACCTGGATGGAAAAAATATGTAAATAGATGGAAAACATTAGAGGGAATGAAAAGGAAATAACCATTTTGAAAGGAGATAGTTCATTTCTTCAGCCTCTGCTGAACAAGAAGCTTTTAGTTAAAACAGGGTAAAATGAACATTAATTTTAAACTCGTAAGTATTCATATGTCACTTACCCACAAGATATCAGTAAATATTAACTGTATGGATACTGAAGAGTTTTATTGTGTTATTGAAATCTGGTGCTGTATACTACATTTCTAAGTCTACGTCTAGACTGCAGGCTTCTTTTGCAAGAAGCTTTTTTTGGAAGAGATCTTCTGAATAAACTTCTTGCGAAAGAGCGCGTCCACACACAAAAGCGTATTGAAAAAGTGACCTGTTTTGCAAATGTCCACTAACTCACATTGAAGCTGTGATTATGATGGATAGAGTGGCCACCACGGCACTTGTGCTTTTTGCTCTTTTCAAAATAACTCCCTCTTCCCCGTTCACACACGCCTTTTTCTGAAAGAACTCTTTAAAAAAAATTTTTTTTTTTTAAAAAAAGCTTCTTCCTCATAGAAAGAGGTTTACTAATGTCAGAAAAACCTCTCTGTTTTTTCAGGGGTGTGGTTTTTGTTTTTTGGTTTTTTTTTGGAAAGAACGGGATTGCAATGTGGATGCAAGTGACTTTTTTTGGAAAAACAGAAGTGTTGGTACTGCTGCTAGACAATAACAAGCTCCCGTGGTTGTGCAAATTCTCTGGTTCGGCACCAATCAGGTCCCGAGGGTGCCAGGCTGGAGAAGTTCAACCTGTAGTAATTCAAATTCTCGAACACAAGGCAGTCAAGTAGGAACACATTCTAGAGCAGTGTTTCTGAAAGCACTTCAAGAAACACATTAACTGGCCATCCCGGTTTGTTTCATTTACTAGTGCCACGGCCCCAGAGCCCTGTGGCTCCCATTGGCTCAGTTTCATCCTTTTGTAGCCAAGGGGAAGCGCAGGAAGTGATATGGGCCCGGCTGCTTCAACTAAAACACAAACGCTTACTGTGTAAATTATTACATAGAGCAACAATGTCTGTCAGAAGATTGGTAACTGAAAAAAAAAAATCACACTCTGTTGTGGTATTCTAACGGATTAATCTGATCAACAAGATGCAGGATTGCTTTCTTGTTGGAGCCAATGGGAGCCGTGAGGCTCCGTGGCTGCAGCGCCAGTAAATAAACAAACCGGAGCGGCCAGTTAATGTGTTTCTCAAAGTGATTCCATGAGGTACTTTCAGAAACACTGCTCTAGAGCTAAGCCTGGAATGCCCACTTTGGGTGTTTTCTGCAAGCTTTGTGTACTATTAAATAGGGATGTAGGCTCTTACTACATTTAAAAGGCAGAGGAGCAGCAGGAGACCAAGCACAAGCTGGGAATCAGTTGTCCTGGCTCATGCCCAGTTCCCTGCTTTTTAAATGCTTTTAAAGCAGAAGTGCAGGGCCTGGGACTATTAAATATTGTTAATACAGGTTTCTGACAATGAACTACAGAAGGTTAGACTGTTTCTCTTGGTGACAGACACAGTTTCTCAGAAAAGCTTCTCCCATCCTCTCTAGAATGTCCCAAACTCAACTGAAAATTAAAGTTAGTAAGAAGCGATATTATAGTGTAGCATATCAAGCCAAGGATAAGTTTGCCTCTGATTCAAGCCAATTATTAAATACATATATCTATAACATTTTTATAACAGCATTCAAACAAATTAACATCAAAATATTTGTGATGCCTTCCAACTTGCCACATAAATATAACCTATGAAGAGTGTTTAAAGGAACAGTCAGTGTAGAAAAGAAGGGATGAAACTTGACACACTTGCTAGATATTTATAACATTATGTTAAGTAACACTGCGAGGCTATGTCTACACTCGCGGCTTCTTGCGCAAGTATGGCTGTTCCTGCGCAAGAATCTGCAGAGTGTCCACACTGCCTGCCCGCTCTTGTGCAAGGAAATTTACAGTACGGCGTGGTAAGAGGGCTTCTTGGGCAAGAGCGCAGTGTGGACACTTGGCTAAAATGGCCACCAGAGCTTTCTTGTGCAAGAGAGCGTCCACACTGCCATGGGAGCTCTTGTGCAAAAGCACAGCTCGCACATGGCAGTGTGGACGTTTTCTTGTGCAAGATTTCTTACACAAGAACCCTTGCGCAAGATGTTCTTGCGCA